GTGATAATAGAAAAGCATAATTTCTGAGTTATAACGCTAATTGCTAAAAGTAACTAAATATATAATCCATTCATAGAAATCGTTCATGAATTACAAATCTAGAGGAATATAATCAAGTAGTGCATATCTACATAAAGAAAAAGAAAAGAAAAGAGAGAAGTTGAGTTCTCCGAGACGACGACGTCGGCGAGATAACGAGCTCTCCGAGACAACGGTGCCGATGAGGTGCCGAGCTCTCTAAGATTTCATCGGCGAGGTGCCGAGCTCTCCAAGACGACGTCGTCGGCGAGGTGCCGAGCTCTTCAGGATGATGACGATGTAGGCGAGGTGGCGAGGTCTCTGGGACGACGACGTCGGCATGTTCAGTAGTCGGTAGAATGTGTAGTCGGTGGAATGCACCACTGACCGGCGAAATAAGCTTTTCCGGCGAGTTGTCCAAGTCTGCATAGTAAACTCGGCTCGTATCATTTCAGTCAATTTCGGTAATTAGCCATTTTATCGAAAATAATTATCGGAGGGAGTTTTGACCCCAACATGGACTAGGTTAGTTCATGCATTACTCACTTTGCATTTGTTTTTTTCTGACAAAAAAAAGTAACATAAATTTACTTTGCTAATCCAGAGACGTCTGCTCACATTTACAATTTTGAAACTTGACTAAAAACATAGTGTCCTCTGGTTCTATTTTGTAGGTCTGTTACTGACATATCTAGGTTTGTATCTTATGGACGGACATGGCCAGCCTGCACTACTGTACATCGTTTCCTGCACATTCGGTAAAACCCGAAGCTTGAGTTTCTCTTCCTCCATCTGATCTTCTCCATCGTTTTCAAACAAATTCTGATGTGTTATTACTATGGTCGTCATTCAGGGATGGTAAGAGGAGAGCTTAAAGAACTATGGAATTACGGTATCGATGAATCAAAAGAGTCTAACACACCAGACGATCCTCTACTGAGGCATAGTAACTTGATTCAGCAATCTAATGGTGTGCTATCAAATCAAACCAGATCAGCTTTCCCAAGAACATCGAGGAAGAAGCTTATATAGAATCTGTTGTGCGAGATAGGACAAAAGCTTAATCGGATACCAAAAGTAACTCAAGAGACATGGGAAACTGTAATATATCGTATTTCTCTTGATTTTGGTGTAAGACTCATGACATGTTTGTACAGAGTCTATTACCTTTTTTTTGGATTCAAACTCACATTTGTCTAGTAATCATCATTTTGTAGTATTTCAAAGTAATGCAAATTCCCTTTTTTTAGATTCTTTTCTCTTCGGATACAAATAGTCTACTAATTCCATAGAACTTTAAAAGTTGGTCCAATGTAATTTGACTGATGGAATTAGATACTGACGAAAACAAATGCGCGAATTTATATTTGATGTGGACTTGTGGAATTAACCAATCATCTATTTATCATGTACACGTACGTATATAATTATTAATGATAAAGTAGGGCAATCGAATGAAATATAAGTATGACCAACTCCATAAATATTATACGACGTGTAGATAATCCTTCCAACTAAAAATGTGATTACAAAGAAAACAATATGTAATTGGAGTTTTGTAATTTAGTAGCTTTTGTTAACTATATGTTATTGTGTTATCATTTGAACGGCAAATGAATATGTAGTGTGAGTTATTAAAAAAAAATGTAAAAACAATTTTCTCTACAAAATTCTTTTACCAAGAATAGTAAAGGCTGTGACACTTGTTAATTATAACAATCAATTGGTTAAAAGATTCATAAACATATATGATTTACTTATGAGCTATATTATATATTTATTAAAAAATTGACCATATATATGTATAATTATTCATTTGTTTATGGGTCCCTTTATTTATTTTTGATAATAGAAAAGCATAATTTCTTATAGTTATAATGTTTTTTTTTTGAGAAAGATGATAGTTATAATGTTAATTGCTAAATGTTACTAAATATATATCCATCCATAGAAATATGTTCATGAATTACAAATTCAGAGGAATATAGTGAGTGATTCGTTCGACTGTAGTTGTAGATTAATTGCTGTAGAATTTTTGCTGCAAGTGTTTTGGCTGTAGCTGTATATTTTTTTTTGCTGTAGATTTTTTTGCTGCAAACTTTTTTGCTGTACAAATATAAGTTGTAGCTGTAACTATTTTAAAATAAAAACATGATTGGTAAATCTAAGATATGTGCTATAGTTTTAATTAAATCGACTAATTTTATGAAAATAAAATGTTTTGTTCTAATTATACAAATAATCGAGTTTATAGAAACTTTATGTAATTTTCAATGCAATAATAATGAACCTCTAAATTATTTTAAAATGGACAATTAAAAATAAATAAATATCATTTTAAAATTAAATAATTTCGGTAAATGTATTTAAAATATAAAAATACTTTAGTGATTGATAGAATAATTCATAATACTTTTGATTTTATATTTTCCATAGATTCGTCACAATCTTGTTTTAAAATCCTTCCATATATATTTTTTTCTCTCAAAACTTTGTTTTTATGAAGTTTTAACTAAGTAATCATAACAAAAGTGTATAACGTGATTTAAAACAAAAAAAAGAGTTTGTACAGCCATAAAAATGGGGCTGTAAGATTTTACATGTTATAGCAAAAGAAACTTAAAAAAAAATAAAGAGGCTGTAGCTTAGAGAATTAAAGCAAAAACATGATTGGTAAAAAATGATGTAGGTTTGAAAGTTAAAGAATCAAAGTTACAACATGATTGATAACATAATGATGCTTAAAGAAAAATTAAGGCTATAGACAACACTTAAAGCCTAACCAATCATGCACATAATCAAATCAAGTAGTGCGTATCTACGTAACGGAAAAAAGTAAAGAGAGAGAAGTAGTGCATAGCTCCAATGGCAAGTTCCCAAACCCTAACGTTTACTGGCCAGAGCATGATAAATAATAAAATCTCCCATTATCAAAATTCAAGAAAATAAAAATAAAAATAAAGACAAATCTTTCGTTACTTATCAACTA